TCCTAACCCGTTATAAGCAGCACCAAGATTGCAATAACTGACTCCCTCTCCATCCTTATCGCCCACCTCTTTTCTAATTTCTAATGCAAGTTGTTGGTACTCGATAGCTTTTATGAAATTTCCTAACTCTTGATAAGCATTACCGAGGTTGCAATAATTTTCCCCCTCTGAAACCCTGCTTCCCGTTTCTTTGAAAAGGTTTAGAGAACGTTTGTAGAACTCAATGGCTTTCCTAAATTCTTCAAGGCAGTGATACACGAAACCAAGATTATTGTAAGCAGCTCCTTCTCCATATTTGTCTTTGGCTGCTTTGGCAATTTGCAGATCTTGCTTGAGACTGATGACCTCTTGAGTGTCGTCTGGACAGATTTCATCTATGTATGAGACATTTCGTATGTCCTAAAATTTTGCGAAACTCTGTAAGACTTCAGTTTTGGGAAAGCTTTGATATTCAAGTTTCTGGAGAAAAGTATCCTAAAAAAGTTTCTGTTTCTGCGAATGTTATGAAATGATTTGCAGTGTGGTTTACTGCTAAGATTGACCGAAATAGGTTTGCCGTACGCCTGGCTAAAACCCGGCATAGTGTTCACTCTATTACACCCTTGTATATATGAGAAGTAGACTCAGGAAGTGAAAATAAAACGAACTTTAGTATACGTCCAAATTACGCTTGTTTAGTTCTTTTCATTGCACGTAATTTTATCGTTCTGAAGCGACTTCAGTCAAAAATTAATTCATTGCTTAAAATTCTTGCAGGATACTTTGTCGTTTCTTTCATCTATTGCCTTTTGAAGAGTTTTAACTCTTAAAGTTTAAAATTTAAAAACTTTAAAAAAAAAACCCCTTTTCTCGTATTTGTTTTTCACTCTTACTTGACTTTTCTCTGAGGGACTTATATGGCTGCTCATATCCTCCTTTTGGTTTGTTTCTTGCACTGCATCATTCAGCTCACCGACGCTTTTGGTCCATAAGTCGAGTAACTGCTTGTTATTGTAGTCAATCTTCTTCGGGTTAAGTCAAACAGCGCTGATTTTCAAAGTGTTAAAGCTCGTGTCCAAGCTCGTGCCCAAACTCACTATGATCTTAGTCTGAATACAAATTAATGATTTTTGCCCGAAATCAAAGTAAAAAACATGGTTCTCAAGGTTACGAGTATGTTGAGTACTTTTTCATTTTCTGATGAGTTTAAACCATGTGATGAAAGAAAGCGGATCCTACCCGCNAATGATTGTTTTATTATACATTTTTAAAATTATGTTTAAAGAAGACACCTAGGCTACATTCACACTTGGTGCTCGAACGTTAACATTAGTGCCAAGAAACCGGCACGGAATGGTGCTGTGCTCAGACGCTGGGTACTGGGTACTGGATGTATCAGTGCCTGAGTGCAAGGTCAAGACCCTCTACTCGGACACGGGCACGGTGCTCGAATTCTGGCGTGAGCACTTGAAAAAAAAATGTGTGTTCACATTAGTGCTCATCAAGAATTGTACTCGGGCACCGTGCAAGTGTGAACGCAGCCTTATTTATTTGCACTCGTATCGAGCGCCTTTTTCACCTCTTGTGAATGAAAAGTCCTATAATTTCATCTTCTTACCGCGGCCGCGAAAATTACAGCATTATCACGAAGAACAGTGTTTTAAAGTGTTCTGGGATCATATAAGTTAAAAACTCTACACTCGCACAGCTTTTGAGGGTCGTTTTCTGAAATAGCGAGTTTGTGCTTAACCATCGCCAAACGCCACCGTTTTAAATCAAAAATTTTTGCCAGAAATACTTCACTCGCTTCTGCAAATTCTCGGTCTTTGATAATTTCATTTCCTTTCTTCTTAAAATGCCTTATGAGTCCAAACCGTGAAGAAGTCTTTGAACTTTATGAGTACGGGCTGCCATGACTTTTTTTAAGTGCCGGCGTAAAACTTCCTTAGAATACTGGCCAAAGCGGTTTAATCTTGTGGTTCCTCCACAATCTTATTCCTCAAATAATCGTTCCGTATTTTTACAGCTGTTTTTGCTGTCCTCTTGGTGCTTTTGTAACTTTGTTCTCGATCAAAATTTTAATTCCTCCTAAGAAACAGAAGCGAAGCTTTTAGCCATATTTGCAAACAGGTTGAAAACAGTACACGGACGAGTGGCTTGGAAACTGTCCAGACTTTGAATCCGACATGATAACCCAATATCGGTTGTAGATATTGGGTTACCATGTCAAGTTCACATGCTACTGTATATTGACTGAATGCTCTCAACAAATCAGATAGTTAGTCAACTGTATAATCATTGATGTTGTTAATGATTTTGTATATTTTAGTGATTGAATTGACACATGCACACCGAGCGTGATCAAGGAAAAATACGATAAGCGAAAAAATAAGTACTGATTAATATTTTTCAAAGGATACTTGCAGTCCTTTCTGACACCAGGTTTTGACTTCTTCATACAGCTGCAGCCTTACGCAAGCCCTGGCTCCTAGAAGACAACTTAGACATTCAACAGGCAGAAATGCCTAAACGAAGAAACAAAAAAGGCTAAAAACGTACGCTAAAGGCTGTACAACGGCGGGAATGAACTTCTCCTAAAGTTTAAATCAGAAACTCAGGCTC